TGACGATAAAGATATAAGGCTTAAAACCACTGAAATCAAACAGCGGATATATGCCTGCATAACTCAATAAAAGCACAGAGGTTTGAAAAAGAAAGAATAAGGAAATAAAGAGGTCCCATGTGCAGTGAAGTTTATGGAACTTCATGAATTACATACGTATACCATAATTAATATACTCGGTAAATGTACAGCGTGCAGCGTATTTCTAATAGCTTTGATATGTTCAAATTTTTCTAGTGATATAGTTTAAAGTAATTTCCACTTTTTGGCGCGGTGAAACACAAACATCGTCATGAGCAGTAGAAGTGATGGCAGAAGAAGTAATTTCAAAGGGAAACCAAAAACAAGGCATTTTTTTATTGGATCATTACCCACCCAAAACATAAATAAAAGTGAATCTCTAGACTCTAGACCTAGACAAAAAAAACGAAGAGGTGAAAACGCACATAAATAAATATCGAACGGAAAAAACACTAGATAAACATGAACAAAAACTAGCTAAATGAAAATATGATTGATAACGTGTCTCCACAAATACAAAATGCAACTAAATCATCCGGTGCTATTAATGAATTCGAAATATTTTTAATCCAAAACACAGTGTGATCCATGGAAAAATAGACCACACACACCCACACACATAAAACCAGGTGAGTACAGAACAATTTTCTAATAAGAGATTGATATCAGAAGTAAGTCCAGAAATGAAGCACAATTATAAAAAGAGACAAGGGGAACCGAATGAATATGAAATCAGACCTTCGAAACTGGATTTCTCCGAAAATTTCATTCAGCAAATATTTTACAACTTAGATACAGTTAATCACTTACCAAATGGAATAGTAGGAATGTTCCCTAGCGATGATCAAAAATGTTTAAAAAGTAATAGCACAATGTCGCAATCTGAAGGAAAGCTGTATTCTTCAAATGGATTCTCAAAATGGTTTCTGAAAAACGGGAAAATACTTTTCGACATGGTGATGGTTTACGTACAAGAACACTATAATTTGGCAGAATGTCTCAAATGCTGGAACTTTGGTCTTGTAACTCACTGCCACAAATGTTAAAAAGAACACAAAACGGCGGATTGCACTGAAAATGTTTGGAAATGTTCAAACTGCATGAATGATTTGAATCACTCTGCCAGAGACAAAAGTTGCTCCGCATATGAAAGAAGATTAAAAGCATTTAGAAACAATATTAATTATTATGATTCTTTATACAATCAACCCTAATATTGAATACAGGTTTCCGGTTAAACGAGTGTGATAAAGTTCACACTCTGCAGATGAATACTAAATGATTCATCAAAATGTCCAAGAGTTAGAAAATAATGTTAGAAAATAATTCGTGTAGGTCGTTATGCGTAACAGAACACTGGAAAACTCTGGAATAATTAAAAGCGTTAGTGATAAAAAAAAATTGTCGAGAATATGGAAAGCATGGTGGAAGCACTATTTATGTGCATAAGTCTGTGAGATGTAAACCGAGAAATGACCTACGTAAGTTGTCAATCAAAAAAGTTTTTGAGTGCGCAGCAGTAGATGGTACATTCAAGTAAGATCGGTTAAGAGTTTATAGACCTCCATCAGGAAGTATAGACGTTTCCCTCTATTCTTAGATACGAGGGCAGCGCCAAAGTTTCCCGGCCTGAATATGAAAGAAACAAAGTAGAGTAACACTTTTTTATTATTTTTCAATATAATCCCTCTTATCTTCAATACACTTATTACATCTTTTTATTAACAACTAAATCCCTTTAGAAAAATATTCTTTTGGTTTGTCTGCAAAATGAGAAAAAACAGCCTCTTTTAACTCAACTTCGTCGTTAAGTCGCCATCCACGTAAGTCCTTTTTTAAATATCAAAAGAAATAATAGTCGCTGGTTGCCATATCTGGACTATAGGGAGGATGATCTACCTGTTGTAACCCACACTCTAAAATGGCAGCTTGTGCAACACCAGCAGTACGGACAGGTGCATTATCGTGTAAAAGACGCACGCCTCTGGTCAGTTGTCCTCGACGTTTTACACGTATTAAGTCTCGCAATTTATGTAATAATGTTGCGTAATATTTACCATTGACAGTGGTATTAGTTTCTTCAAAATCTATCAAAAGAATTTCTTCACAATCCCAAAAGATCGTGGCCATCACCTTTTTTGTTGACTGGCAGACTCTGAATTTTCTTGGAGGTGCTTCATCCTTCCGACGCCACTCCATTGATTCTTGTTTCAATAGAGGGTCATAATAGAGAACCATAGTTTCATCTCCCGTCACAATAGTTTCTATCAAAGGCTTCGGTTCCGACCCACAGAGTTCCAAAAAAGACCGCGCACACTCGACACGGCGTTGTTTTTGAATAGCCGAAAGGTTTTTAGGAACTCATCTTGCACTAACCTTATGCATACCTAAATGATCATGCAGGATTCAACGAACACTTGTCTCAGAAAGCTTAGTAATTTCTGAGATTTCCTTGACCTTTAAACGTCAACCACTCAATACCACCTCTTCCACAATCGCAACAATATCTTCTGTTATGACCTAAACTGGTCGACCAGTTCTTGAATCATCTTCAAGGGAGTCCTGCCCCATTCGAAAACGTTTTGCCCATTCTTTCACTACAGAATACGAAGAAGAACTTTGGCCGTACACACCATTCAGCCTTTCTTTAATAATTTTAGATGCTAACCCTTCTTTTGTCAAAAACTTTGTGATTGCTCTATACTCAATTTGCGTTATTTGCAACATTTTTTCGGACACATCTTGTTGCTGTCAATAAAAAACTATTTGACGCAAGACTTTATTTTTTTTTTTCGCAGCCTACTAAAATATATATTAAAAAGAAGACAAAGTTTTATCGTGATACTGGAGCTGCATCTATGTCACTCCGGGAAATTTTGGCGCTAACCTCGTATTTATAAGGAAAACAAAAAAAAATGAACATAAATTAAACTTAATTTCACCAACTTCTTCGTTCAAACTTTCGTCTATGGTTTTTGAAAATACAGGGTCAAGGTACATACTGAAAGCTGTATTGACAACATTTTTGTGAATTGTGAATACAAAAACGCTTTAGTATTTGACGCTTTTATTTCTGATCATACTGCCCAGAAAATTACATTGCCGTTAGAGAATTTTAAACAACATATATTTTAAAAGAATTTTTTCAGAAGAAAATAAGCAAATCTTTATAAAATGCCTAAAAGAACAAGAGTGGGAGGATGTAGTTACAACAAGAGTGTAACTATTTTATGAATTTGTTTTGTACGTTGTTTAATCGATGCATTCCTAAGAAAACAATGAGAGACGCTAGTCGCGTAAAATCATATAGAGATAACTAACAGATTAAAAAACGTAAACGAAAACTAATAAAATAAATATAGCAGTGGAATAGACGAGATTGCAACTAGTTTAATACAAATGTCTATTCCATAAGTTAGTAAAGTGTTGTGCATATTAATTAATGAATCCTTTTAAAATGGCGTTTCCCAGACCAACTTAAAACAGCTTTAATAAAACCGCTCTATAAAAAAGGGAGACCCAGAAATAATTACCAATTACAGACCGATCAGAATTTTGGCTAAATTTTCTAAAATATTTGAGATGACTGTTTTTAATAGATGTAAATTGTTCAACAATGATCAGCATGAGTTGTAGCAAAATAAATCAACAAATACAGCTATATTTCAATTTATAAAAACAATTTTGAAACACTTGAAGGGAGGAAGAATGGCTTTAAGCACGTGCTTTCTAGAGCATACGATTTTTATTGTTCAAAAAATTGAATTTTTACGGTCTAAGAGGTAATGTGCTAAAATTGTTTGAATCATCATTATTGGGATAGAAACAACAAGTAAAATTAAACCAAACTGGTAGTTGTTTCCTTTCGGCCCAATTTTATTTATCATTTTTGTGAATGATTTGTATTTTGTAACAAAACCAGAAGAGAGCATCATATGCTATGCGAATGATACCAACCTACTTGTAGGTGGAAACAATGTTACCGAAGTTAGTGCTAAAATAATTTTTGCAAGTGTTTATGACTGGGTTTAAACAAAGAAAAAACAAATTTAGTTTTAGAACTAGATTATGTATAGGTGAAATACCAGATGGCATAAGGAGAGGTAAACAAAATGTGAATATTGTGAAGAGCACTAAATTCTTAAGGTTTACAAATTAACGAATTTCTTGATTGTTCCAAACATATTGATTATTTGGTAAATAAATTAAATTTAGTTTGCTATGGGATTAAAGTTGTTGCAAGCTATATGAATATGGAAAGTTTAAAAAGGATCTATTTTGCAAACTTTCAGTCACGCATGAGGTATGGAATTATTTTTTGGCGAGGTAGTGGTCAATTACAAAAAAGGACTCTTCGTACCATCAAAAAAATGCAATTTGGAGAGAGTTGTAGAGGAGTGTTCAAGGCCGAAGGTATTTTAACCGTATACGCTTTATATATGCAGCATTGATATTCTTTTTCAAAAATAGAATGAACTTCGAGCTGCAAATATTTCACAGATACAAGACTAGAACCTTGAATGCAAATGTAAAAAGTGCATTATAAAACAGTTACTAACAGATTTAGTAGTTGTTAATCATTAATTAATACAATTTAGGTAATGTAATCCTTTCCTTCTTTTATAAAATGTATTAGTAATACAATGTGGTTTCGCAAAATTCGTCTTTGGAAAGGAATACATGTGTCTTTAACAAGTTGCAAACGTATTTGGGGTTTTAAACGGAGGAAGCCCAAGCAGCCATCTGCACGGCACTATAAGAAGAAGTACGAACTTGTTCAATATGTCTTCCATCACTGGTCAAGGTTGAATTGATAAAGTCGTTTTCATCTTTGGTGACGACAGACCAGTAAAAGGAAATTAATGTAATTAATACTAAAAGTTTGGTAGGTATGTTTAGAAAATCTACTTATCAATGAATGGAGAGTTATATGATAACATGACGCATTAATGCTATTTCCCTGCTTGCGGTATACTTACTCCTTTCAAGTGATAGTAGCGGTCGGACGGCAATGTATATTTGTAATAAAGGTATCTGTAATACGGATAATAAGGCCACACGTCCGAATAGTAGTTCAAGCTTCTGAGTGGCCAGTAATAGTTGTAATACAGGGTGAGCGGTCGGTAGTACCTTGTCGTTTCGGGATAGTATAAATAATCGATACCTCGGATTGGACTTATATAAATCATCTTCTGCAAAATTCACAAAATTCAGTACATTGAATATACATGGTGTTTTGTAATACATGTTCGATATTGCACAGGATAATTGTTCGATTATTTTTAAGAAAAAAATTAGATGAAGCTTGAACAAAGAAGGACATCGTTTCCGATCTATCGGGTGACCCAAATTTTACGGCCTATTAAAACGGATAAACCGATGTACTTGAAATTATACAGAGTAATGTAAGAGGAAGTGCTCTATCACGCTAAAATATTATCAAATGTGCAGTGTTGCCGCTTTAAAATAAATGTGACAACATCTTGATTACTTCAAATGTCACTTGCATATCATCTCATTCTAAGTATGTCGACTGGAAATAAATAATAATTTGGTTTAACTGTAAACCGAACTTTTCCAGACAGTTCCAGGAAGGGCTCAGGTATACCACTTTAGATGGAATATGCAGGGTGTTTAAAAAAAAATTTAATATCTACATTCTTTAATTCTTAACTTTAACTCTTAATTCTTTAATTTTAGAATTCTAGGAAAGAAACTCGCCCAATTACGAAGTGAAATATCGGACGCCTATTCAAAAACATCATGTATTAACGTCACACGGTAGGAGTGGGAATTTTTTCAGTGTTGATAATATTTCTTGCATATACTGCAACGTCAAAATGGCATCGCACTACGCCACGTAAATAGAAAATAACTTTAAAATATATTTGAAAACTTTCTCTATCCACCTTTACTAATAACCTTATGAATTTACCAATTTTGCTCCCTTAAATTAATCAAACCCGTGTAAATATTTCATCAAAGGCATCAGGCGGAAATTATTTTAGAGAAACTGCTAAATTTCAATTACCCGTAATCCCCCCATAAATCTCTTCCAAAATCAACTCTCCACCCTCTACTAATCTTTCGTCTTTTCGTCAACTTAAACTCGAACGCAAAATGTTTTTTGTTTTTGATTTTGATCCGAGAAAAACATTATGCCTCTTTCTATTTATTGCAATTGTTTTTGACGTTTGATTTGACGAAATTGCTCGAAAGAGATTTTTGGCGATTTTTTAAGATATGTAGATCAACATAATTTGGATATATTTTTTTAAATGTTCAGAATTAAAAAACAGGTTTAAAGAAAACTTGATATTCACCTCATTTAAAGAATTTTGTATCATTCTTGCAGTATGTGGTCGGGTATTATAAAACTCCACTTGTAATCTGGCAAACTTATTAGATTGATATTATATCCCGTATTCCATTTCATAAGTGAGTAAAGGACGTGAAAAAAATAAATTAATTAACTCTGAAGTTGGCCCTAATTTTAGTGGTTAAGTTTGATGATTATAATGTAACATTTCTATTTTGTAAGCTACAGAGATTACATTTGTAATAAATTAGACAAAATATAGTGTGTTTTATAGTGGGTTAGTAAAAAATTGAAGTATGAAAGTATGAAGTAAATAAATGTCAAATGTCAAATAACCAAAACTAGCAGCTGTAGACTCGATAATAGATAAATTCAGATTTATATATTTAAAATTTTGGAATTTAAACTGAACTGACTCAAAAGACTGCAAAAAATAATACAACTTAAGGAAAACTCTGGTATACCACATTTTTGGAGATTTCCAAAACAATATTTTTCATTATTACAAAAATTTGAATAATTAGCGGGGATCAGAGGGTAGAAGGATTTTTTTTTTAGTTTTGAAGAATTTTGTACCATAGCAAAATTTAAGCAAATCATTTGTTTGCGAGAGGGACAAAAAATCTACCCAGAAAAACTTGCCGTCCTTTAATCTTTAAAATGCTTAAAATGACGATCATCCAGGAAATGTTGACCACACTAAATTTTAAATTGATTTCTTTAAAAGTGATTGAGATATTTAAATTAATAAAAAAGAAAAAAAAATTGACCACCTCCGCTACTTATCAAGATCAGTTTTGTGTATATAAACTTATTTGCTTAAAATAATATAAGAATTATCTCTCATTTCTGAGTGTGCCATAAAACCTAAATCACCCTGTATGGATAATATATTTTCAGCAGCACCCATCAGCTGTTAACAAGACTCGAGACTTCAGAGTGAATCGGAAAAACATCAAATGATTTTTATTAAATGGATTTGGTAGCTGATTGCTTAATTTGAAAGTTGTTAAAATTCTTTTTTATCATCACGACATTATTATTTGAATTGGTATACAATGAACGACAAAACAAAATACCGCAAATTGCTAAATTAAACCATATATTCAAAACATCTAATTGATATTGGTTTTTAATAAATACACAGATCCCAACGTTGACAGTGACGAATAAAATTCCGTCGGCTCCATTAATTAAACGGGGGGATTGGAAGAAAACGATTTGGTTTATTGAGACACGTCTATTTACAGGTAGTCGAGACAGGTTACATCGATATGTTTATTTCACCAAAATACAAGCGCCGAGGCGACAAGTCCGTTGTTTCAAATTTAAACGTCCGTTTTAAAAGTAAAGATTGTTCCGCAGCTGAAAATAAAAAATTTGTTAAATTTATTCGATATCCAAGAAAACCGAAAAAAAAATCAAAATTTTCTTAAATTTATTTGTTCACTTGAAAAGCAAAACTAAATAATGAAAAAAAAAATAAAACAAATTAAAGAGAAGTTAGATAAAATGATATTTTTTATAAAATTAATTAATTTTTCAAAGAAACTTCCACAGGCTACTGTAATACTTTTTATAAAACTTCTGGATTCCTCCTGCGTCAGTTTTTGTTGAGTCAAACTATCTAACGTTTCGCCAATCATCCTGTTGGCTTCTTCAGAGCTTGACTAAAACTGGCTCGCATTTTGCTCTCTGCCTGCTTTTATATTGTTTGAGGGGGGCGGAGCTAAATGAGGGGCATAAACACCGTCTCGGATAACTGATTCCCATATTGGTGACATATAGAGACCTGAGTCGCGGTTAAGTTTGTAAGGTGCTTATAGATTTCTATAGACTCTTGGATTTTTCGTTGGTAGAAGAATTTATATACTAAAATCCGAGAATCTGGAACCAAACCTTCTCACCTTAATTTAAAAATGCTTGTCTGGAACATGTGTTACTTATAACGGTCAACGCTGAGAACAGCTATGGGTTCTCCACTATCATTAGTCATCGCAAATATGTTTATTGAGAAGAAAGCTCTCGACAGTTTCCATCTAAAAGTAAATTTATGGAAACGCTATGTGGATGATACTTTTGTTAGTTGGCCTCATGGTCAACAATCCGTAGTACATTTTCTTAGACATTTAAACACTATACACCCTAACATACGTTTTACCAATGAAATAGAAACCAAAAACAACCTCCCATTCTTAGATATTCTTATCAATAGAAAATCAGATCTAACATTGGGTCATTGTGTTTACAGAAAAACTACGCACACAGACCGACACCATAATGCATTGTCTCATCACCATCCTGCCCAAAAATCGTCGGTGATGATTTTTGTTTACAGAGCCGTAAAACTATCTCAGCCCGAGTAATTGAACTCACACCTTACCTCTGCTCTTCTTCAGATTTACCACTTATCCAAAAACCTCTCAACATCTTCTATCGGTCAAAGACAAAATTCTATTTGAGATGCCAGGAGTTTATGGCATTCCATGCATACGTGCATTAAGACTAAGACAAATAAACTCATCAGCAGTTGCCGAACACAATCATGAAACCGGACATAAAATTTTATTCTTGCTTGTAATCATTTATTCTACCAACGAAAAATCCGAGAGTCTATAGAAATCTATAAGCAACCTGACAATCTTAACCGCGACTGAAGTCTCTACCTGTCACTAATATGGGAATCACTCAGACGGTGTTTATGCCCCTCATTTAGCTCCGCCCCCCTCAAACATTACAAAAGCAGATGCAGATAAAATGCAAGCCAGTTTTGGTCAAGCTCTGAAGAAGCCAAGAGTTTTATTAAAAATTAATTAATGTTATAATTAGTAATTTTAGTAATTATAATCAATAAATTGCTTAATCTTAACAGTCCTAAAATTTTTCTTATTTCCTATCCTGGATATTTTTCAGCAAATTTTATTTTTTCATTTTAAAATTGAAATTTTTGAATAGTTGAAAAATGTAAAATACATTAAGGAGTTAAAAAAAAATACCGTAACAAAATATTAAATAAACTTTCAAAAAAATAACTTTACTATACTGTGCTACACTTATGACAAAAGAAAATCTTGATTTTCATGTTTTAATCTCTGCTATTCTAAGAAGACTTCTTCATCCCTACTAAAAAAGTGTACTGAGATTATTTAATTTTATTTTTAAAAAATTGAAACCCTCAAGACTGTTTCAATTCTGCGCTACTAAAAATACACAAACTTTTCTCCAAATAAACAAAACAACAAGAATGGAAACCAAAAATAAAGAATTTAACTGCTGTGAAGTCTGACTTTGATATATCAAAATATAATATACAATATACTATATATAACAGGCAATAATACATATAACATACAAAATATGTCGTTTAATTCAAAAATGCTTTAATATAGGGCGTGTTCTATTTAGAATAGGGAAGAACAAATAAGATAAATAATAATAAACAGGACACCCGGAAAATAATATTTGAAAAGATATATATTTGATATATGATTATAATTGTATCATAAATAACAGATGTATTTTACCGGAAATCCTCGCTTAAAAGGTCTAAACTGATTGGACAATTTAAGTCTGGATAATAAGTTCCGAAATACGGTTTGCGACAAAAACGCTCCCAGCCAGGCACAGAAAAAGTTGAAGCCGGTTGTAAATGGGCACTTTCCGGGTTATTCTTTTCTTTTAGTTTCTCAGGAGCGCTAATGGCCCAACTACCTTAATTTATCTTCTCGAAACTTCCTTTGAAGAGAAACATGTGTTTTCGAAGTCGATGGTTTGGATTTGTTGATAATTGAGAGTCAAAAAGTCGAATCGGAAATTTTGCTTTAATTCGCAATTATCATCATTCATTTGGTGCACTAAATTCATTCAACATTATTGTCTTTGGAAATTATGGAAATACGGAGTGCGGTATCGGTTGAATCCACATAACTACTAGAAATTTTCGAAGTGACGATGAAAAAAATATTTTTTCGTGGAGAAGGGAATGATTTACTCTAACCGGCACGTTGAGCCATTTTGTTTCTAAACTGCGATTTTCACACACTTAACTAGTTTTACTAGAACATTTAAGGAGATCTAAGTAAATAAAAATTTGATTTACAATTTATGCAAATGTATTTATTTCTGTATTGGCGAATGTGAGGTTAACTATATCTATACTTAATTCTTTCATGCATGACGTTTCACCTCATCTGGAAATTATGAAATAGTTTATTTTAAGCTAGATTACAAGCATCACTTGGGAGATCTATTCAAGAAGTCGAACTGAATCAACCGGAGATTTTTAATATGTACAAATTTGTTATTATAAACGTATGAGATTTTTAAAAAAAACTTCAATTCTCTGGGATAATTGACTGTACACATGTGGTAATATTAATTGCAGAACATCCAAAACTTCTTTATGTTAACATGGAAACCTCGATGTTGGAATTGCCTTTTTCAAAATTCATTTTTCAATAACCGTTCTTCGTAATTTCCAATCCTTAGTAGCTTCAGAACAGCTACCTAAAATATTTGTAAGTGCTTATCATAGATGCCGGCTGTGTCTTTGAATAAAATATGGGATAAATTTTCCGGAAGGCAGGCAGCGCTTTGCATGTTTTATATTAAATTCTTTCATTTTGTACAGAGGATGCTGAAATATTTCAGCTAGTTGAATCAGCAATTTTTTTCTCAGTTTGTATGGCCACTCCTTCTGCAAATCATTTAAACGTAATTTTTACGGTATTAGGTCCACTATTTTATATCTAAGCTATATAGTTGAATTCAAGTTGAAACTTACTCGGACATCTCTGAGCGACACTTCCGAGGGTTTGTAATCCAAATAGTGCTGAAACAGACGACGAGTTGACCAATAATATGGAAACCAGACCCTCGATCTGTACGACCAATCGTCCAATATGGTAACGGGTGGCGAAAATTTGTAATTCCTAAAGTATTTGGAGTCGGGCCAATACGTGTAATCGTACCCGTGGATTGGATCATATCTTGTCTCGATCATTTTCGCTAAAAATAAGTGTATATACAGTGACGGCAAACTAATTGGAAACGATAGCTTACGATGATTTTAATTGTTGGTACTAAGAAATTTGTTCAAGATATTTCAATCAACTTAAGCACTTGTTAAATACTCAAATATACTCAATTCTTTTTTTTAAATCGGCTTCTCCTTATTTCGATAACTAGCAGCGTAGTTGCAATTGATAGGAGCCTAATTCAATTAGATTGTGTTTCGTTCCAGGAGTTCCCTTAAGGAAGGTATTTGATAAAAAATGTAAGACATTAAAAAAAATCATGCTTTAAGTAAATATTAAATATCATACGTAAATGTAACTATTTAATTAAAGTTAAATTGTCCACATATTATTTGACACATATTGGGTTTTCACTGTCCCAAATTTAAAAATAAATAAGTAAATAAGGAAAGCTTAGCAGTGCCTGAACTCCAAACCCTTAGTCATATTTGAAAAAAGGTTACGCTTACGCAAGATAGAGAAGAATAAATTACATTCCACCATTTGCCTTAGAAAAAAGGTAAAAGAAACGGTACTTACTCGAATATTATTTCACCTGGTTTCCACGAAAATGGCAAAACAAACGCCTTGCCCGAAAACTTCACCTGGTTGTTTGCATCAACAGGATAATTCGCTGAAACGTTGCCAAAAGCCGGTCGTCCAGCCCCGTCTCTATTGCATTGCCTGCTGTGACTAAGGCTTTCCCAAAACATCTACGTTTTCTCTATTATTTACTTTTTGACTCACGTTCTGACGTCACCCCGGAATGCGTAAAAACACTCCGCGATTTTATAAATAAGCCGGAAATGTGGGTTAGTCGTCGACATTTTTGTTTTGTCCGGGTTTTGGTTGATAATTATATTCGCCGCGTAATAAATAGTTAATAAATGTTTTAAAAGTAATGATTGCTGAATGATTCTAACAGACACGTTTTTTTTATCCTGCTGTAATTACACTTCCATCCCTGATATACAGAATGAGTCGAAAACAGAGGTTCAATTACTGTTCCTTTGTGTGAAAATATTTTTAGTTTGTAATTTTTCATTATATTAAATAAATATAGCAGTTTTTCAGATATATATTTTTTAATGTTGAAGACTTAAAACCTTGCTACTCGTTGTCGATCTGACATAACATTGTCGAAAGTCCTCCTTGGACCTACTGTTCGACGCAGAAGAGTGAGGTTTTACGTTAAAATCTGCTAACTCATAAAAGGTTTTTGTTGCAATAATTTCCAAAAAAACAAAATGATTTTTATTGAAATCTGACCGAAATCGACTATAAAATGTTACCATTCAAGCTAGAAAGTGAGGTTTTAGAGCTTAATCTAAGACTAAGTTTGTTAGTTTTTAGAGGCAGAGTTTTAAGGCAAACGTTTAGAAGTGGTGCTCTTAAATTAGTATTTAGAGTAGCTAAAAATTCTTCTAAAGGACCTAGCTCCAAAACCACCTCTAAAAGCTTTAAAAGTACTAAAACCAGATTTCGCGCCATTTATTATACCGAAATTTACATCAAACCCGGAAATATAAATTTAAAATTTCACGTTTTACAGTAAAATTTTCTACTCGATTTTGAACAGATTTCAATCTAAATCTGCGTTTCTAACACGCATTGTAATGGAATCATCAACGAACCAAAATTTTATCAATGTACGCCTACATATATACATACAGTAATACAGTTCGTTGAATACAGCCCATACTTTACATTTTTTTTCTCTTGTAGTTTTCGAGATGTTGTAGAATAATTATCTACTAAATTAAAAATTAAAATTAATAGCTATTTTCATTACAGACAGCTTAAAAAAAAGCTTCTTTTGTTTTTTTTTTTTTCTATTTAGTAAAAATATCTAATATAACACGAATTATTTTCATGTAACATTTCAAGTACGCTCCAAAATTAAAAAAGGCCTACATTGTCAAAAAAATACTCGGAATTGTTCGATAGAAATGGCACCACAGCGACACTGAGTATTTTCAAACGTGTAAAGTTCCATTGACAGTGTGAGACGCGCTGTATATTTCAGCTTTTAACAATATAAAATTAACCATAAGCTCGTAGTTTTCTTCATGCGTATAACAACATTGTTATGTTGCTATTATTAATACCTATACACTATTTAGAAACGTTAATTAAAACAAAAAGTAATGATGCGAGAGTTTTTCATACAACTTTAAATGGATTTAAACTTTTCTGCAATTGAAGGGAAATTATCACACGAATCGAAACGCATTCGTTTCCCACTCAGTTTAAACATTCGGTTATTTAACTTCGCGAATATTAATCAAATTATTTTAAACTATGACCGGAAGTCGAATGCTCTTGCATATTCTATCATCGTCCAAAAGCAATTATAGCTATACTCGGTGTAGACCGAACAAAAATATCTCTGTGGTTCATCGATTTGCAAAAGCAGTCAGTTTGACAGTTCTAGCACAGGTTTTATTAAATTGAATAATTTTTTGATGTTTACCATGAGACTAAGCCAATGCATTGCTTAAAATTGATTTGGTGTTAATAACAGCACAATATATTGTTCTGGTATCGTGCAGACCCTTGTTTAGGAGAAAGTAATGTTTCCCGTAAACAATAAATAAATAAATAAATAATAACAATGGCAGCACAGTAACCGTCATGGAAATAAAAGAATCACAGGCTTAATCGTCAGCCAGATACGTTTTGGTTTAGGGCTTTTAGCAGTTTCACGAAAATGAAAGCTGGGGGCTGTGACCACGACCTTCATGACGACCTTGATTTGAAAAGAAATCTTTCATATTTTACCATTTACATTTCTAAAACTAAGCAATTAAATATTGTCATGATGGGTATTAAATCGCACAATAAACAAATTAGTTACTGCAAAGAAACAAAGTAATTTGGAATTTAAACTAATATATTTCAATTAGGATACAATTTCTAAGACACACATATCATTGCTTTACGTCTAAACTTGTTCCAGAATAACTCAATTGCTTACCAGTAAGTATGGACGTACTGATGTTGTCTCAACTAAAAAATAATAAGCCAAGTTAACTTTCGAAGCTAATTAATACGAAATGCAATTTTGTGGTCGCTTTTTTTGTTATTCGTTAAAGAAAATTTCTTGGGCTAACGAAAATTTACTTCCAAGAGACCCCTGAATCCTTCATATGCAAAATGACTTTAGGTCAATTTTTAAAATGCTGCTTAGTATATTGTAGCTTTGAGGTTCTAAATAAAACCCTTGGGCTTAGTTCGATCCTATGTCCAGTTATCGAGAGATCGATGTTCAAAGCTGGGTAAAGGTGAATTTCAATAATTTTCCAAATATTTTAACAATAATCAATTACAAATAAAGACTATACTTTTTGGAGAACATTTTTAAGGGGGTATTTTGCTTACTGTATGGTTTTTAAATTTTACAATTTCTTCTTTACAATTAAAAGGTATGCAAAATTCAAGCGCCTAATTTAGGACCGATAGTGTGCATCTTGAAAACAAACAGCCATATTTTCACAAAACTCCGGCATTTTTTATACAACGGCAAAAAACTTACGAGGGGATTCTTTTTTTTAAACAAATGATAGTTTGTATTACAATTAATACTAAATTTCTATTTGCGTGCCCGTAGATAAAATGCATCTAGCATTTCTGCATTAGTGTACTTCACCATTAGTAAATTAAGCCTCCCAATATTGAACAATTTAATGATTATATAATAAATTTCAAAGTAAATTAGTCATATTTTCCATTCAAACTAGCAATGTCAGATAAAGCAATAACAAGAAACGCCTTATAAAGTGAAAGCAATCCACTAGATTTTTTTTACGTAATATTTTATAGTTCCATCTATTTTCGTTTTAAAAATTAAAAATAAAAGCATTACTTTTTCGCCATATTTGTAGCCCGATATATCGATATGAATCGCCAACTTAAGTTGCTCGCTTTTACTTGTATATCGATAACCAAAATATGACAATATATTAGTTGTCATACATGGCTTAGTCCGACAGATGATAAGTAAAAAGTATCAAAATAAATAGTAACTAAAAATTCAGATTTTCACGAAATTATATATTTTTACATGATAATTGTTTCGACAACACCGTGTCTTTATCAACATCAACATTTAATAAAGACCCGGTGTTGTCGAAACAATTGTCATTTAAAAATATATAATTTCGTGAAAATCTGAACTTTTAGTTCTTATTTATTCTGATAAATTTTCATCAAGTAAAAACCACCTCAGTTCAATTTTTAAAAAGTATCAATTTAATTTTCCATTTTTTAAATCTAATTTCACACTTTTATAAGGATTTTGTATGAATTTAAGCGAGGATAAGACATAAATAACGTTACTAAAACATATATTGCGCCATCCTATAGTATGTCAATAATTAAATGATTTTATTCTACTTAATTCCTCAACAAGAAATGCATAGTTTTTAAATCTACTTTGATGGTTTTTCAAATTTTTCAGTTTTTTCAACATTTAAAAAAAATCTAAACTGCTATTATTCAAATCATATTTCATTTAATTATAAGGGGAGGGCGATATTTACGGTGGTTACTTATTCTATTTAATTTCTATTTAATGACATCGGGCCAAAATAATGTGCCACAATTTTGCATACTTTGGATGGTAATAAAATAAACCTTTATGTAATAGTATATTATTTAGCAAGTGCGGTAAACGGCATTTGACTCACGAGTTTATTTGATACGAACGGAGCGAGTGTTTCATAAACGAGTGACTTAAACAGTTTACCGAACATGTTGCACACTATACTTTTTTTAAGTTAGTTTTTAGGTACATTTCCGCAAAATAACACGAATACACTGATATGACCGTCATAATTGGCAAACGTCAAAATTCAAGACGTATCCGATTGCTCTCAAACCCGTGCGGCAAAATCCCGGAAATGTCCGAAGTGGCTCGGAACCGTCGGAAACGAAACTGACGTGGTAAAATGACGCTTCCCGCATGCTATATCGGTGTGTAAGTAGGTATTTTATAGACGGGAGTAGAAAATAGTATATTATGCAACAAGTGCGGTAAACGGAATTTGACTCACGAGTTTATTTGACACGAGCGGAGCGCAGCGGAGCGAGTTTTTAGTAAACGAGTGAGTTAAAAAGTTTGCCGAACGTGTGGCATACTATACTTTTTCTACGACAGTTAGTTTTTTTGTACATTTTCGCAAGACAACACAAATACATTCACTGACATGACCGTCAGAATTGACAAACGTCAAAATTCATAGCGTGGGAAATATCTCCGAAAACATCCGATCGCTCCTAAATCCGTGCGGTAAAATCCCGGAAATGTCCGAAATGGCTCGGATTCCTGGGAAACGATACTGACGTGGTAAAGTGACGCTTCCCGTACGCTAGATCAGTGGGTAATTAGGTATTTTACAGACGGGAGTAGAAAAATGTTTTGGTTCAGCCTTTATGAAAAAATTGCATGGCAGTATGATTTTGTTTATTATTAAAATTATTAAAAATCCCCTTGTCCAACTTTGTCCGGTCAGTCAGTCAAGAACTACAGCACACTAAATTTTTTAAAAATTGGCTGAAAGTTATTTTGCATAAGATAAGTTAATTAGAAGTTTAGACTGTCCAAACTTAAAAACAAAAAAGACGTCAACATACACAACCCGGAATAATTGTTGGATTAGACCGGAAAAGTGAAAATTTCAAATTGAAACCGAGAGATCTGACACGATTATCATAATGGCTTAAGGCTAAAACTATACCATGGACCTAGTTCAGTACATTAAATCAACTCAAACATACTCTCAAATCTCTTCGAAGCAAGTTGTTCAAATAAGTTCTGAAATCTCGGAGCGGCGTATAAATGTACCAATACTCTGGCCAACTCCCATAATAATCCAAAGGTTTGTTAATTTTGTAGTCCGGTATGTCAATGGGTACATATTTTGAGCTAGGCCAGCACTCGTAATCTATCACGCCATGTAGAGGCTTGTACTGTAGATCCAACATTATCTTATCACTAAAAAATGAAATTTTAAATGGAAATATAAACGAATTGTATCCCAGAATACTTACGATGGTGTCGTATGTTTTTACACAGGTTCGTTCGTGCAAAGTTCGCTGGTGTTGTGACAAATATTTGCAAAAATATGAGCCTAGCGAGAAATTTGTTGGATGTTTTCCAATACGTGCGGCATGCAAAATAGCGCTTTTTATTCATCGATTTTATAAAGGCTGAATTTAGAAATGAGAACACTAAGAAAATATGTGACTTTTACTGTTAAAATCAATCACCAAAATATAGTCCATAGATTATTATACATGTTGGAGATCCAAGTTGCATGTTAAGTGATAACGGAAATCAGTTTCGTTCATTATTCAATTCTTAAACAATTATTACGTAAAAATCAAATACACTTTATTATATTTCCCTCAAGGAAATATGACCGAAAAAGTCAATACAAAATGGTCTACTTGTTTAAAAGATAATGACTACTTTTGGAACAATATTGTGCATTCTATTACCAGATATACTTCCTTTTTTTGTCATTTTGGTCGTGCCGAGAAAAATAAAATTTGCAAAATTTTTAAATTTTCTAAATATACTAATATGGTCAAATTAGCTGTTCGACGTTAAATAATCTCTACAAATGTGAAGTGAAAATAAAATTCTGAAAGAAAACAAAGTCAGACCTCTGCTCTAAGGCCTATTTGTTAGATGAAGGTCCTTACATAGCATCCATAGAAATAAGTCGTAACTGCTATGTCATAATATTGTAAATCTGAAGCTTTTTAAGCAATTGGGTTGTAATGTGATTTATTTTATATTTATTAAAATGGTATTATTTTTTCATGTAATCTTATTACCAAAAAATAATGCGGGTAGATGTGGTATTTCAAGGATTTTGCGATCACATCGGCAACAAGGCTAGTGTCCGATGGGTGATTTAAAATAGGAGAAAGAGAGAATTGAAGAATATAGCTACGTTTTTCTGAATAACTCGATTATTTATTCCAACGATCTACGACCCTATTAATAATATCGAGTGTTTTCTCAATCAAATATTACTATATTACTATTATAAAAACCCAGTCTCTGCATATTTGGATATTTCTTAAAACAAGTGCGGGATATTGAATTAGATTATTCAAGGATTTTTTTTTATAAAATTTACAGTTTAAATTCAAGTTCAAATAATTTAGGAGAGTGTTGTATATTGTACCAACATTTATAAATTATCTTTTGAACAATTATATTTTAAAAATAATTTATTAAAAAACAATTCTGAAACTATCATTGAATAAGTTTTTTCTTAAATTTCCTTTAATCTTTTGTCTTCGACAACGAATCGCCCCCTTAAATTTTTCGCATTTGATTTGAAACACTATGTATATAATAACAATTAATAAAATGACTAATTTTTTTACTCACGGAAATGATAATATAATATAATAATAATATATTAATGGAAGTACAAAGGCAATATTCAATGAAAAATTAACATTCACAAGTAAATGAGAGATATATCTCAACAAAAACTTTTAAAATTCAAAAAGAAAATATAATTATAATACGAAGAAAGTGAAAAAATAGAAACAAACAGTACATATGACAGAATAAAAGAAACAACTCAGCTCAGCTATACAATTATACATCTTAATCGGACAATTTTAAATTGATGTTATCAATCGAAAAATTAAATCTTTGTGGTTTACTAAGTTTCATGGATATGATCATGTATATTTCTGTCTTGGTATTATTCAATTTCACTACATGGGATTTAAATTCACACATCAATTGAAGATCACCATTATCAATAGCGAAATCAATGTCAAGCAAGGATAGATATAGTATAATTGTTGGTCATCCGCAAACTGATAGAATTACATAAGTTGAAAAAAGCTGTAAAGTTGGTTGTGTAAATCGAAAAATCTAGATAGCTCAAGATAGTACCTTAGAGAAATACCTTATGAAGATCTTAAATGGCGGAGTAGGCCATTTCTGTATAACAGCACCAAGTTCCTTAAAATTATTAGTTTTTTGTGGTTGTATTTATTTGTTTCATGGCATAGTTTTTATATGCTATTGTTTTTTCATATGTTTTCCATATAAGTGCAGCAATATACTGCAATACAGTCGGCAATACTTATTCCGATAATGTGTACTAATTCCGAAAGCGGAAACAGTTCACTCAAAAATTTTATGGCAGGTTAGAAATTTGCTTCGGATGTAATTAGTTGGCGGCCTTTCCTTAAAACAGGTCATTCGAAGTTGTCCGTCCTCTATGTATAATTGAACCAATTTGAATTTCCAACGAGATAATGATTCCATCTACTACGGGACATTTTCTTTGTCGAATTTTGTCGAATTTAATTTGAAGAACAAAGGCGATCCTAAAAACAATTTTCCGCTGTAAACTCCTTTATTCCTCGTTTCGTTTAACTATAACTTTGTTTTGTTAAATTGCCGAAACATATTTTTCCATTGGTAATAATCTATAAAAATCAATGTCGGGACACTAATAAAAGGAAACCTCTTTAAAAAAAATTGATTGCAAATAGGTAACCGTAGGTAGGAAGAAAAACTGGATCTAGTTGAATGTTAATATGTTGCTAAAAATTTTCTTCATAATTTTAATTTGCATAATTTTTTTTTGTATTTATTTTTTATTATTATTATTATTTCAAATTTTCTATTTTCCTGCGACTTCTACATTTATTTAGAGTAATTTTCTTTTTTTGTCCGCGCTTTCCCATTCCAAATTGTTATAAATATACCATGTTAATGAGGCTTTACAAAAATCTTTCGTTGGCTACCTATTACAATTAGTCCATCCTATTCCAGTGCCACTTTAATTCTTCATTTTATTAGTTTATTCATAAATCCACTAAAATGTCGATCAAATTATGAAAACCATTTATAAAAGAAATAATTAAATCAATTTCATTTTCTGTTGTACTTATGTTTATGTTTAACTTTAACGTTCTCACTAATGCCTGTGTGGTTTCTTTTTCCCGTGACGAGCGGACTAATAACACCAAGAACTTAAATAAAATATAATATTCAGAAAACAGCACATTAAAACTAATGTTTAAAATTAAAAAATATTTGTTGCTAAACAATTTCTTAATAATCTTCTCCTGCGTTCCGAAGTCTATCATCCACCAAAGGAATTTTCAAATTATCACGCGTAAGCTAAGAATTTTCTGTATATCAAAAAATCTGATCGTCAGGTCGTATAAAAATTATTTGTGGAAAAAACAGAGAATAAAAAATTAAAAAAAAAACATTGCTTTTTTAAGTTTTAAGAGACAAGAAATAATTGTTTCAGTTTTCTTTTGAACGACATGAAAAAGATATCAACATCTAAAGTACCCCTAAAGAATTGAAAACAGTTTGAATTCTAAGTACGGGAGAATTCTGGTAGCAATTTCCTTTTTTACCTGGCCTTTCCGATTCAAAATTATTATATTAAGCACATAGTAATGAGGTCTTTCAAAAGTCGTTCAATGAATATTAATATTAGTTCATCATGGCTCTCTGTTAATTTTTCCTTATTTATTGGTTTAGTCAGGAAAACTACTAAAATAACAACAAAGATATAGTCTCTATCTACTACGAAAAGAAGTTAAAAAATATTAGATAATAATAATAAAAAGCCTTTTAGACAAAAACACATTAGGTAGAATATTAATAATATTAGTTGGGGCCAACATCCAACATTGTTACTTTTAAGCAACTCCCTAAAGTAAACAACCAGTAGCAGCAACACAGAATAGTCCCAAAACTTAAAAAAAAAGTGAAAATGACCACCTGACACCAAAGTAAAATCTAGATACTCACCAAATGATTTTATAGGCAAATTCGTTTTTTAGATTTGGTAAAGCAACAGCCGAAGTTGCTAGATCAGAAATTGAATATACAGAAGTAAAGATAGAAAATCTATTCACATTTTCTGGCCACAAAATTCATCTAGAATTTTACATAAAACAATGATGGATATGGAAATTTACAATTTGTTAATGGGAAATTCTGCGTCTCAAGTGTGTGGAGCTAGTCCGAAAGATATGAAAAATTTAGAAGAGATCTTAAGATGACCGCATCAAAATAAGTCATTTCAATTAGGCCTTTCTACAATAAATGCACACACAATTTTTTGAATGCTTTCTGCATCTGTCATACAGGCAAGACGTAAAAAAATAGCAAGTTCAGGACGCAAATGAAAAAAAAAGTGCATTTGAAGAAAGAAACAAATAAATTATATCTTCTTTTAAATCAGAACTGGGTCTTTTCATTGATTCTGTAAAGGAAAGGTATGAGGATACCTCGGAAAATAATGACAGAAACTGCTGTCGCAGGTTTCTTGAGGTCTGCTCAAAAGCTAACGAAATCACTGAGGTCAATGAAACACTTATTCGTCGTTTTTCCTTTATTCTCCAAGCTTTATTTAATCTTGATTTGATCAATTTAGACCTTGGACACTGCAAAACGGTTTGTAAGACTTTATCCTTGGTTTAATATTCCTGTTTCTATACAGAAACTAGGTACTCACTGATGTCATAAAATCGTTACTTTTATATAAAGAATAGAGCCGTTGTCGAAAACACAATACCAGAAAAATATCAAGAAAAAAATGCAATGAAGATTTAATTCATATTTTTTTAGTTTCGACAGATTCATTGATTTCAAATATAAGAAAATTGCCTGTTAAAAAGGCAAGCACTTTTTCAAGTGAAGGTCGACAAGATTAAATAGATGCAATTTTGCAATTTTGTAGTTTTTCATTTAGCTATTCGTTTATTTTTGATTATTCTGTTTTTTTGTTTTTTTTTTGTTTTCATTTTTTACCATTAACACACAGATGTTAATTACAAATAACATAATTTCACTATTTACGTGACAAGTTTGATTTTAATACAGCTAATTTTGCCAAATTGACAACAGGGGCGTGCCGATTAAAAACACCCAGTAACTTAAATCAAATATAATGTTTACGAATACAATAAAATAAATGCAATGCTAATATCTAACGATGGAACGGGACAATCGCGAAGTTGCCGATTCGAGTATCAGATCACTCTTGTTGGAATAAAGCTGTTGCCTGAACTGAAAGTAAATTATATCCAGTTTTAAAACGAACGCCACTTCCGATAGATACTCACTAACGATGGAGACGTCAGCCAGCGTCTGAACGGTCTATTCCACAATCTAATCTTAAGTTTCATCGGCCAAAAATCGTAAAATTCGTACGATCTGTGAAGCCGATAATCGGGAACGTATCTGGTGTCTCCCAAGTATAACTCGCGTCCATATACGGGATTGTAACGCGCCCTCAATGACATCTCTGCAAGCGTCAATGTAACGAGTGTTTTCCGACGCCTACTCCCAAAAATACTCACTAGCCTATTTTATTAGGCACTGTTGTCGCACCACCGCACTCTACGATCGTTGTGAATAAATGTAGTCGAAATTTTTGCAAAAGTAAACGAAAAGCTTCGTTGGACAAAAGCCAGGCGAGACTATTTTCGTCAATTATAAACTCGCAGAGGACACCACCGCAAACATTTCATTTCTGATTAATTCTTCGAAATTAATCACTCGATGACACTCACATTCTCTTCGTGGTGCACTCAACACTGTTTTATAGAATAGTAGTATGGGCAGACAGTGCTGTTGCAGAAAGGACTTTTATAATGCGAAATAGAGTTACCATCATATTTATTCATTAAAAATTAAAATGTTTCTCATTTACAGTGTCTTTAATTTTAATTACTGTTATTGCAATGGTAATACGCGTGTCGCTGTGCGGGAGCACGAAGGAATATTTCCATACAGACTACCATATCGAAAAGTATTTTCTAACATATGTACTGTGTGTTCCCTTATAACCGTCATTTCCTATTAACTTTCTTATTTCAAGAGATACAAAAGTTTTCATATATAAGAGTTTTGTAGTTCTTTCTTAATTTTTTCAAATCGATAGGAACAAAAAGAAAAAAACATTAAAAAAAATATTTCTTCATACCACAATCTATATTAATTCAGAGAAAAAATATCTTTTTTCCTGTTTTCAAAAATGTAGGGTTTATTTAACTCAATTTTTCTTAAGAGTTGAACGAATTCTGTTTTGACTTTCGAAAATATTTTCAAGGAGGTTGGTGAAGGTTCCAGGATTTTCTATAAATCCAAAACCTTAAATTTTTAAAAATAAATAAATATTGTTTATACATTCAATGAAAATCTACTGAAATTATTAGCAATTTTTTATTTAATCCTTAAATATCTTTAAATAACCGTAGAACCCCAGGACACATGGACGTGTTTATATAAATTACCAATCGAAACGAAAACGAAAAAGTTTCCACGTTATTTTCCAATTCTATGACGCAGGTAATAGTATATTATGCAACAAGTTCGGTAAATGGCATTTAAGTCATGAATTTGGCACGAGCGGAGCGCAGCGGAGCTACTGTTTAATAAACGAATTACTCAAACGTATCGCATACTATACTCTTTCTACTGCCGTTAATTTTTGGGTACATTTTTGCCAAACAACACAATATTTTCACTGACATAATCGTCAGAATTTACAAACGTCAAAATTCAAGCCGTGCGGAAAAATCTGCGAAAACATCCGATTGCTCCCAAATCCGTGCGGTAAAATCCCGGAAATGTCCGAAGGGGCTCGAATCCGTGGGACACGAAACTGACGTGGTAAAGTGACACTTTCCGGACGCTAGATCAGTGTACAAATAGGTTGTAAAATACCTATTTGTACACTAATCTAGCGTCCGGAAAGGAGTAAAAAAATGAATTTTTGGCTTGATATAATGATGAGAATGCAAGGAATACTTCATTACCATTATCCAATTTTGGACCCGAAGGCTTTCCAAATCATTTAGAAGTTCGCCAGTGGATTCTCATCCATCAAAATGTTTTTTTTAATTTTTGATAAATCGAATGGGCATATTAAACACCATATTTTTTAAATCCATTTTCCTCGAAAACGGCTCATTTTATAAGAAAAAAGTCTAACAGGTAACCCACGAAAAAGTTATTGCAGTTTTTGTTGTGTCCCTCAAAATTTAAGACCCCCATTAAAATATTTGTAATTTTAAAATCAGATTCAGCATGGCAAAGTGACTAAAACGCTACATTTTCAAAACCTTCTCTAAACCTGTTTCGGAAATATTAATAAAAAACTATTTTCGTAGAACGTAGAATATACTTTTATAGTTTGGGCCACTAATTCAGGAAAGATTTATAAATAATAAAATTGAAATATGGAATAAAATGTTAGACAGAGAATTATGGATCAAGTGCTATCTATCACCACCAAGGCCTCCACGTAGAAAATGGATAATTTTCCAATCTTCAAAACTCCAACATCTCGAGCTGAGCCTGAATTATCTTGTTTTTAAATCATAAATAAATTATGTAGTGTAAATTTGTACCGCTCAACATCAACAATGTAATTGTAAATGTGGTTCCTTGGAAAATAGTTAATAAAAATACGCAAACTAAAAAAAGAAATATATTCGCATATTTAACACCGAAATTTTGTAACTTTCCTTCCTCATCTCAAGTAAGTCAGCTCCCTAAGCTGAAAAATAATTCCGAATTATGATCCGAATAATGTATTGTATACATCAGGTTTATACTCACGCGGAGAATTTTGTACAATTGCCTTCTATACGGTTGGTTTTGAAACCAGTATCTGTATTTCCAAGGCCAATTAAAATAGAATTCGATGGGGTGTAACTTTCGATAGTCGGGGGTGTATCGATATTCGAACAGATATTCGTAATCCGCACCATGAACTGGATCGTATTTCACTTTAAGCATCCTGTCTATAAATTTATTTATGGGCATTATTGTAATTATAATAACTAATAAAAATAATAATAAATAAATAATAAACAAAAAATTTAAACTAATAAAGTAAAATTTTAAGCAGGTTCTCTTTCAATATTATGGAATATATTGATGAATTTTGTGCTGGGTTTATAAAAACTTTCTTACATGATTGACGTTTCGCAATTTTATTGCTTGGGAGTCTAAAAAAGATCACACGTATTCTGAAATTTTACTAAAAAAATTAATGTGTATAAAACAATACGGATAATTATTGCTATTTATCTCCGATCTTGAATAATGATATAAGTAAAGAGATAATAAGAAAAAACAAGCTACAAAAAATAATTACAGTTAAAAGTTGAACCCAATACAACCAAAAGTAAACGACATTCACATTGAGATTGATTTTCCGTGTTAATATACATACTGTATATTAGCATGTGAAAGTTCATGTTGTCGTTTAGAATTTTATTGCCGATCTCTATGGTATGGTTAAAAAATGGTTTACATTTGCGGATTTAATTTTTTTTTAAAGGCCTGTAAAGTTTGTGCTCGTTTTCTTAAGAATAGCATTTTCGTCACTAAAGGATACAGTTCGTTTGATTTTGTATCTTTTGTATTGTATTGTATCCTGTACAATGAAACATCTCTTTTACTGTTTACTGTTAAAAAAAGCACTAGAATTAACGTTGTCCACATAAGATATTAGTTTTTTCTAAACTAACCAAAACCCTAAGACGACGTAGCCTAATTTTTTTTTTGAAGCTTATCTTAGCAGCGAAAAAATGTAATATGTCACCTGAGCTCTTGACGTTTTTTCGTATCTTGCTTCGTTGTCGAAAAAAAATTCTTATTGCATGTTCCTAATTGGCAACAAATCTTAACCAGTTTTGTATTAATATCTTTCATAACCGGTATCCAGATTCCTTGTAATATGGTAGTTTTATATGTAGTGAAAAGAGAATAACGCATCTCTATCTAGATTAGAATATTTGGGTCAAAGGGTGTTGCAGCCAAAATTTCACGAATTTTTTCAACAAAAAATTCACACAAATGACTTATTTTCTCCTTTTTTAATTCAGGCACTAAAATTACCGTTTGGCCTGATGCTTTACATACCCGGTGTTAGGTCCGGAAGGCCTATCATCTTGTTGTCCAAAAATCTCATAATATTATAATAATAATAAGATCGGTACCGGTTGAGTAGCTACTAATTAACTAATTAATACAAATTGTACTAGGTTAAAAAAAATGTTTAAAAGTGATTTTATTTAATTGCCTGGATATTATTATTATTACGCCTACAATAACTGTTCAAAATATCTTCCAGTTATCTCAATAATCCTTTTGTCACAACAAATAAAAATACCAAATTTCAACAAATTCCAACAAGGGATATTTAATATATTTTTTAAAAGTTTGACACACACTTTAAAATTATACATTTCAGAAACCATTTTCCTCATTTTTTCATGTAGAATGCCCTTAAAATATTGGAATGTTGCAAATTTTAATGGAAAATTAGCTTAAAGTAGCAGCCAGTTTTTTCACCATAAAAAAAGTGGATGTTCAATGAGTAATAAGAAACTGATTCAGGAGAACAGTTAACTAAAGTTTCCTCAAAACCATACTTTATGTTCCTTGTATGATTATTAATCCTTCCAATATTTAATTAAAAGAACTATTATAGAGATCGCTTCTATAAATGTAATATAATTTTTTAAAATACATACCTGCAGGTTGCTCCTCCATCTTAAGTCAAGACTCAGTTTGTATGTAAAACCACTGTATCTAACATAAATGAAGCATTTATACAAAAAAATTCAGAATTTATTTCAGACCAGCAGTAAGTCGTATTGATTTTTTTTTTTGCGATCAGTTTAATATCGTTAATACTCTAGCGTGCGTCGCGATCATTCCCGCGTTTGACATTTCTTGTTTTCGCACGAACGAAACGAACGAAACGATAACACCGCGTTCTAGATAGACGTAGACATTTATAAAATTTATAAAGAACGGATAAATGCAAAAGGTAAACTTACAGATTGATTTCTAAGACGACGTCGAAATTTTCGAGTTCACTGTTTACTCGCGAAGTGGAAACTTTCGGTTTATAAAGAGGCGAGCATGTACTTAACGCCCGAAGTAATTGGGCGTCCGCCAAAATGGCGGACTCGGTTTAGAAAATATTTTAAATTGCTTGCCTGTAATGATATGTGTGTCGCATAATTTTGTCATTAATCGGACATACTCGCTCACTTTTTATTTTTACTTTGTGTTTTGGTTAGTAAGTAATTGAAAAACCGATCTACAGAGTTCATTACAAGATGTATACAGCTTGTTCGGAAGTGCTTACCAAATAAAAAAATGTCTAATTATTAACTCTACGAAAAAAATGCCTCTTCCTAAAATGTCCTGCTTGGTGAGAAAATGAACTTGTACAAGAATCATGTATGTTGGTCATACAGAGTGGCTTCAAAAAGTAAAATTAACAAAAGACCAACAATCCTAAGGACTGTGCCATAACAAGTTATAACAATAATTCAAGAAAAATACTTCAGAAGAGAAGTATCGTGAATAATCTTAAAGAAAATTAGTAGTTTAAAATTAATTTCTTATTTAGAATTTTGTGTCCTTAATTAATTCGAATTGTGTGCCTGAACTTTGTTTGTTGGAACAACGTGGAATAGTTTACTTAAACCAGTGACAATATCAACATTATCACTATATTACATCATTACCTTACATTAAAGTTAATTCAATAAGCATCTTCTTTATCTTTCTCCTACAAAATTTGAACCAATCAGTAAAACAAGGGCCAAGATTTTGCAACCACAATATTATGTTAACTATTGATTTGGTCCGTATTTACCATTTTAGCTCATTTAATTCCATTATTGGTCCTATTTCCAGCGTTATTCATGATTCATTAAATAAGAATACGTAGTTGTCAGCGCGTAACTAAAAATAATTAAAGCGATTTGTTTATTTTATAGATAGCACTTTCAATTAAAAGGGGTTATAAAAACCGGTGCTAAATGATCCTGTTGGGTAAATTATAAACATTCTGAAAATCTCATCATTGCATGTTGAAATCAATTTATTTAGCACATTCACCATAAGTCAACAAAATTATTTTCTTCTATTTAAGAATTTTGGAACAATTCCTGATATGAGTGTAAATAAAGAAAGGTGGAACAGCAGAAAATAACTTAAATAAAAGCCGTAATAATTTCAACAGCTGGAACTAGACTGATGCCAGAGTTGTGAATAATATGTTAAGAAAATTTATAACAAAATATTCCTTAGCGGCACCAAATTGAAATTGAGACCTTTGGGGATGCATATTTGACATGCCGTTGTTGTTGTGGTGGTTGCTGCGAGCAACCATAAGTTACAAATACATTTCATTGTGGTAATGGTCATTTTTTGGGGTTTAATTTTAATGTTTTTGATAGAAAATTATACAAAATCATCAGATTCAACATACAACACGTTTATTGTGTAATATAGGCGTAATTTGTATTTTTTGGAAATTCTTTTTTATTACTGACTAACCAATATGCAATCTGTTGTTTGTGTAATCCAAACACCTTGATCTGTGATAGTAATGGTAATAGTTTAACACCAAAATCCGTAAACACAACCCTACCCACCGAGATGCGGTAGTTTTGGTGTAATTTTTTTCCCAAGTGTTAATTCCTGTAGAGTGACTATTTAGAGCTAACACAGGCATTGAATTCTGGAAAATAATATCATCTTATCGATTCCCTATGCAGCATTCAGATGATCAACTTAAAGGATCTCGACTCCTAGACTATGTTAGTTTCACTCTAATATTAGAAAAATTATACCGAGCAACAATAGAAACTTCAATTCAGCAAATTTTAACAAACGCTTATTGATAGTTAAAAATGGCTGCTTTAGTAATAAGATGTCGTTTACCAAACACATTTTCCATGTGTCTATTATTGTGTGTTTCAGTAAAATAAGCGTTGTAACTACTATGAATTAGTATTTTTTATCTGAATCTTTTGTATTGTTTTAAATTATAAAACCGGTTGATAAAAGTATCGTTCAATCGATTTTTGCTTGAAACCGGGCACCATCAATTCTAAATTAAGCAGACCTTCGCGTTGGAACATGTTTTCTGCCTTGTTGAAGATTTTAGACTATTCTAACCTGACTTGCGGATTGTTTTATTTACTAGAAAGACGTAAAATTAATTCTATCCAAAAATACAATCAAGATCATTACTATTTAATAATGGCGATCATCCAAAGTAATGGTTACTTTGTGTAAGTACCTAGGAAAATTTTAATTCTTCTATTTTTAAAAGAATACAACTAAAAAAAATTGTCATGTTACCCACTATCTTGTTAAAGTCACCAAAAGAAATTTCAGAGATTCTAATCAACACCCAAATTTCTGATAAAAATATGGAAAATAGTCGTAAAATACTGAACCCTAACACCAAAAATTTTGTTCGAATCTGAGACAGCATATTAAGAAGTTATGGCTTTGATACGCGAAAAATAGTGAAATGGAAGTTCTACGAGAAAGAAAGAAACCTTGCGTACTTTTTAAAATTCTTAAATGGTTTATTATTAGGTTATTGAGTTAGTGAATACAAAATTAAATAAAACACGATTTCTATAGATACGTAGTCAGTTTAATTCTACACTGTAACATATTTACAACTGCATCTCTAATTCTTATTTCATCTTAGTTCCCATCCACTTACAAAAGAGCTTTCTCAGGTTCAGGTTCTATTATCGACTGATCTACTATAGCTATAGTATATAGTGCAAAAGTTGCACGCACATATTAATGTAATGTAATGTATGTATTAATGTAATATAATGTACTCCATTTTTTTAAAATTAATACACAAAAGTTGCCTAAATTTTTGTTTCAGCACCCAAAACAATGCTTAATGACACCGACTTTTTAATTCGAGATTATGCTGCACGTAAAATCGTTCCAATCTTTTGTTAAGTAATAATAATAATAATAATAAAGGGCCTTTATTCGGTTTCGACGGAGATATTTTACAAAAATATATAACTGTGGGGGTGGCATCCAACATAGTTGCTCTCATGCAGCCCCCTAAAACGAGTATATGACAGAATTTATAAAATAAAATATAGCATATAAATTATATATATCTAGACATTCATTCAAAATGGTAGACTCTGCTAGTGTGAATTCGAAGAAAAAAATACATATATACAATTTGATAGTTACTAGTTTTATGATCGGTCTCTATTATGATAAATGTATTGCTTAAGTTTTGGTTTGAATGAAGTTAGTGAGGTGATTGATCTCAGTTAGAGAGGGAGTTTGTTGTAAACCTTGATAGCATTGTACGTGAAACTGCGCTGAAACTGGGCTGAAGTATGTTTGGGAACAGTAAACAGCCCCCTATGGCGAGTATTAACCGAATGAATATCTGATCCACGAGTAAGTACGGTAACCAAGTTTACACAAATACTTAATGCGCATTAACTTATAATGCGATTTGCGACATTGAATTTTAAAATTTACACTGAAATATTTGTTTTCTTTGAACAGATGATTAATTGTTTTGCACCTTCATAGAGTTAAAATTTTAACAAATAATTAAAAAATCCGCTATGTTTTGGATAACAAAGTATGAACAATTATAATCTCAATGTTAGTGGTTTTATGTTAATATTATACCAACTGTTGTATGCGTTTTTGTTAGCAATTGTCTGATAGCACTGACAGATAATGCGCATTTTGTGTTTACACGAATGTTTAATCTGAATTCAAGGGAGATAATCCACATATTTAATGCATTTTAAGTTAATGCGACTTGGTATTTTTAAAACGGTTTACAATTGTATATACAGGCGTTTAATTCAAGTTCGCGTTCCTCTAAGGCGCGTTAGGTGCAAACTTGATTAGCGATATTAAAAGTTTTCTTTACGTAGGCACATTAGAGAAACTGAAGTTGAACATACCTAATTTATAAGCATTAAAAGCAGTTGAAAGGACAACGTTGATTCGCGTTTTGGGAGTCGGGCCACCTAGTGACGTCACCCAAAGTACTTGCTGACACTTGTTTAAAAACTACCTTAATATTGTCAAAATTTTGAATGTTCCAAAATGACCCTAATTCAAATACAAATTTTAGATAGGTCTTAAGGTCAAAATACAATACAATTTTAAAATAAAAGCCAACAAAAACTAAAGACATCAAATACACCTCAATTAAAACACATAAGACACTAGAAGTCAGGATTCAAAATAGGTAGTAAACATATACTTAGCTCACACGTACATGTCTGTCGGAAGATCCAAAATTTCTTGAACAACATATAAAGCTACTACTAACTTTGTTTTAAGAGAGTTTATTTTTAAAAAAATGAAGCAAAGTGCGTGAACGTCCAAATCTTAAAAACTATTAATTCGTGAAAACCCTTCAGTCAGGCTCCAATGTCCTCAGTTTTAGGTAGCTGTTTTAACAAATTTATGTTCTTTGAAACTTTCGTGCAGATATAGATTGATTGAACTTTAAGGTTGGATTTTTAAAATTTTATTTTTCAAGATTATTAACCTCGTGGGATATTAAAGTTAATCTAAGAAGTTTGAAATATTTTGTTAAATTTTTTGTGTAACACTTCTGAGCATGCCAAGTTCTTATCACCTGCGAAAAGAACTATTTAATGTTGTTGTTGAGTTTTCCTAATAGGATTTCATGTGATATGCAATGAAATGCGTAGGATAGGTCACAATAAATAGAACCGGCATTGCAAATAAATTTGGTTAAACTAAACCCAATTGGCTGGCTAACTTTTATTTACATATCAACTTCATACAGTCGTATGCTTATAACAAAAAAATTATGTAAAAACAATTGTGTGTGGAATTGTCACATCCTCGATGACTCAATATTCCACCAACCGTCTCTTCGTTGCCCAATGTTTAAAGTATAACGGGTTGCTGGTCTGGAAAAAGTGGCGTTCGTCGGAATCCAGGTCAGATTAAAAAAATCGCGTTTAATGATACCGCTGTACTTTCAAAAACTCACCCTCTGAATCTCAAAGGGAAGATTGGACGGCATGTAGTCGCAGAACACCCTCAAGTTACCGTAAGGTACCCAAACCCTCGTTCGGAACGGGTAATCGTAAAACGAACTCAGAGGACGCTGAATTTTGTCGTCATAATAATATCTAATGTCCGGCATGTATCGGAAATTATATCCATCCTCGTCACGGTAATACTTCAACTGCAGCATCCTGAAACCGTCCTTTGTTTCGCTGAAGGCTATAGCTTTGTTTTGGTTTATAAATATTTTTGCAAAATTGAAACACAAAAACACCGATTTAGGCATATTTTCTTGTATCCTCATGATCATCACTCCAACATACACGGTGACTTAATTTAAGAATTGCAGTTGTTACTACATATTTTAAAAAAAACTGACTGTCTGCGGATTTTCAATATTCTCCTAGCTACGTAAACATTAATTGTGGCAAAAAATGATAAATACAAAAATTTTAGGACATTTAACTCGTAATAAAATGACTTAAAAATATTTTTCCTCGCACTTGCCATGTTTGACATATGAATCGGAAGGGGAATCTCATTAAATTTTATCTTTATTAAATAGAGAACAACAAAATATTTTCCCTTTTACAGCAATCAGCTTTTTATTTTAAGAACAACTGACACTGACTCTTCTGGGTTTCTTGATTTTTAAAATAGTTAAGGTCCCTATTGAGAAAAAGCAAACTTTTCGCCGTCACCGCTAGTGAAGCAATGGAGATTGGTTTTTTTAGGGCGACCTAAAGAGTCAGAATGTTACGTGCAAAAATATAATCATTTTGATTTATGGATTATGATGTCCAAATGGCAACTTTATATTTTGAATAATAACGGAGGATACATCGAAAATAGTCACTAACCAAAACTTTAGTTAAGAGCAAAAGTTACTTTCAAGACGCTATTTATGAATTTGAAATATGCTATTTATCTTTCAGTTGAATTGATAAAAATAATAATTATTTGAAGTTATTTTGCTTAAAACTGAAAAATATAATATGGACAAAACCTCAAATAACAAAAAATCTGAAAGATGTTATTTATAGGACTAATCAAAACCCAATTGCAGAAATAAAATTTTAATTGAACTGTAATAAAGAGGAATTAAATAAAAATTATTCATAAAATTGTTTAAGATACCGATCCTGGAAAGACAAAACTTTAAATTCAAAATTTCATGGCTTGATTTCATTTCCGTTAAAAATCTGCAATAAAAAAGTAAACTAAATGATCTTTCATATTAATGAAAATATGGGAAACCAATAATTTAAAATCTGATTTGATCATTTTTCAAGTCACAAAAAAGTAATGGACAAATGGCATCTGTGTATCTTCAATATTAACGGAGTTTCCCATCAGAAGACAACGAAAATGGTCACCCGTAACTATAGTTAAAAGCAAAAGTTAGTTTAAGACGTCATTAATAAATTTGAAGTGAGATTGGAGAACCAGCGATTTAACCTTCCGAAACTACGCCTGTGAAATTTTTGAAATCGCCACAGAACGGTTCAAGTCGATTCACCATTAACGCGCATGCGCGATCCTTTTAAAACCGTTCCCAAATGAAACCCAAACAAAGCTAAATCACAGCCTACTCACTTGGTCGGAACAAAAGGCCAAGCAAATTACTTCACAATAGTTGGAAATCGAATGATGTTGAGTCTCGCTTGTTTTCGCGTTCAGAAAAATAAAACTGGCTCATGGCTGACGCTACGCAACAGTTTCAAAATTAGCAAACAACAATATAAATTTCTCCCGCCTTCGTGCACAAATAAGTTGTCGCGTATATACGTGTTGCTGTAAAAAATCGTAAAATCGACGAATTTCGTGTCCATGGTATACAAAAATCTCTTCGAAAAGAGCGCCCCTATTTTTAGATGCCGACTTTGTTGACAAATGCAGGTGCGGAATCGCCGCTCTGTTCTGACCGCACCAAAATTCAAAAATCAAATCTTGTCACAAACTGCTAATTTGTTTTGGAGATAATTATTATTATATTCTGAATTTTGGAATGAGTATATATCATACCATAGTCATGTAGGCGTGGTCAATATCAGCTTTATTATTTTAAATGAACCTCCTGTATGGTATTGCATTTTTAGATTCTAAATAAAATTCTGAACAACCCTTATCTCATTAATCCCATATCTAAAACGGACAGTTTCTACGATAATTGATATTTTCTATAAAAAAATGTCATGCGCAGTACATTGTTTAAAATGGAATTACTCAAGTTAGAAGCAAAATTTATACAGGAATAACTTCGACCACGGATCAGTCTACAGCCATCCTTGAGCATTTCCTAAAACTTTACAGAGTGTATGAAGGAAATGGTTACCTTTTGGTACACGTTTTGTGCATAGAAATCTTTGTTTGGTTTAACATCAATTCGATGGGGCGCCGCCCATTGCAATAATCGCGTTAATGACGGATTAAATAATATGCTTGAAGATATATGGATTAGACTCCGTGGCCCGTGAAACTGACCACCTAGATCACCTCTACTGTAATATATAGTAGTTTAGTAATTAGTGTTTTCTATAGCGTCACATTAAGAATTTAGTGTGCAATGGAAAACGCCGACAAATAACCACGAAGAGCTGTTAAATAGGGTCCATGATTAATGGTCAACAACTAGAACAAATTAGAAGAACACTAAGATTTCATATAGAAGAAAATATTTTAGAATTTAAAAAATGTTAAAATAATAAATATAACAATTGTGTGTGATTTATCTTATTATATGTTCCATAATATTTATGCCATACTAATTTCAATCAAAACGATTATTCTTCCGGGCAAAAACCTTTATATCTAAAAAACGACTAGGTATAGGACAATCTTAATATTTCTTATTCAGAATTGAATTTTGAACTTCAACCTTAAGTAGCCATTTTTTTGTGTACTCTACATAGCTTTAGGAAATGTTCAAGGGTCGCTATCGACTGCTCCGTGGTCGAAGTTATTCTTGTACAAATCTTGCTCCTCATTTATTTACGGTACTGAATAATTTCATTTTAAAGAAAATACTACATCTGACATTTTTTTGCACACATACATAACCCCATCTCTTCTTAGCATTTTGTTTTATAGTCACGAAAATATAAGTGTGCTATGGAATACCAATGCGCGTCACTATTTGTCACCTGAATTTAGCCTGTTATTTTTCTGTATTTAATTAAGAAATTAATCTCGAGATGATGATAATGATGACAACATTAATCCAGGAAGAAATGAGTTACGTAGCTATAGGCACGAGAGTGTGCATGTTTCGATTTTTGAAGCAGCCAACAACCATAATTTTGATATTGCCTTTGTATTTGTTCAATGTTTATGATTTTCTTTCAAATAATTTAAGGAAGTTCTTTCGCGTTGCCCGATTTAACCACACTTAAATTTAAATGCCTGTTGATTAGCAATTAAAAATAATAAAGATGAAATTTAACTATTACTAGAAGTAAAAAAAAATAAAAAAATAAATAAAGATGCACATTAGTGGAGTCTGCATTTAGTTATTGTTTTACTGTATGAGCTGCATCTTTTAGGTGCTGTGTATCTCTGGTGGTCATTACACAGAAATATATTTTCAAGATTGTACTGAGTTAGAGGAGAATATAAGTTGAGTCAAAAATTACAAATTTATTGTGTGACGTTCATTATGCCATACAGGGAGTCAATATTTATTTGCAAAATAACGTTTTTTTTTATAAATGCTGTTTTTCGAATTCTTATTAACCTTTAGAATTTATAATTATCTTGCTAAATTACGCATCATGCTAATTTTACCCCCTGTTTCGTTGCATACACCCTTTACTTAGAATATATTTTTTCTCGTATTTATTTTTGTAATATAATTGATGCATTTTGAAATAAAAAAAAAAACATATCTACAACAAACCTTATCCCTTTGACATTGTTTTAAAAAAATATCGGATCTTGTTTCTGTCTTAAGCCTGTCATTACAAATTAATAATACTAATAACAAAATTATGAATTTTTGCGTGTCTCTTTATTATTTGATTTTTATAACCAAAACATCTTAAAAATTACAATCGTTTTAATTATTTATAATTTATATTTAGAACGAGCGATACAAAAACTCCATTGTTCATGTCATAAATACCAGGCACGTCATCAATACTAAAGTAATTGTTTATAATAATATTTCTTTTTTCTATGACAGGTCATTAATCCAAAAAAAACACAAAAATAAAAACTGAAAAAAAAGTACAAATGAAGTAAAGTCGACAACGATTAATCCATATAATTAACGAAAGTATTCTTCACTGAATGTGGTTCTAGTCTCATTAAAATTTGCTTGATAGTTTTTCTGATTACGTTAATGCATTTGACGGAACTTGATAGATGATTTCTCTTCCTCAGTGATTGCTGAGTAAGGTTTAAGTAATATCTAGTCCATCCCTGAGCACGGGTCGCGACGGGTCCCCATCGTATGTCATAATTCCGACAACAGAATTGCGTTGGAGCATCCGCCAGAAAGAAAAACAAAAATTATGCTTTTGTAATGAAAACCCGACCGACGCCAATAACAATGTTCCGAAATTAGCTGCGTGCCAAACTTGTAAAACGTGATATTTACTTTTGGATATTCGTCCCGGTGCCATGTTTTCGATTAACAAAATAAAGTTTTCGGATTTTGAAAAAGTTTTAGAGCTCTCTTACGCGCTGTAATATTAACCATATTTTTTAAATCTTCTGTATATTATTTCGCTTCTAATAATCCGCCAAGAGCCAATTTCGTTATTACCATGAAATCAGCCTTCCCACGACATTTTACGTGAGTCTATTACCAGCTTTTGACGTCACAGTGGTGGCGTAGGCTATTGTTTACTTCGAAACTGGTATAGCAAAGCTCATGTGGCGACCAAAAAAGTAAATTATCCCATACTTCAAAAAAACAATTTCTTTGAAAATGGCCAATTCTTTTAAATACTTATTTTCAACACGTGCTAGATCTTTTTAATTTATTTATCACTTATATTTCCAAATTAATCGTAGAATGTGGAGATTTTTCCAAATGTCTGATATGATGGGCTATTTTTTTACTATATCAACTTCAATCAAACTATTGTCAAATTTCAATTTCATTGTTATTTCTATTAATTGCAAATGCATAATGACTGAAATACTGAAACCTAGAAGTTTTGTGGCACACTTATAATATAATCATCTTGTTTGGAACGTTACACTTGTAAGTAAAAGTAAAGCAATAAGAAATCAATTTCATACTCATTTCTATTAAATGCAAATGCAAAATGATATTGATTTAGCGTTGTTGATGATTATTAATTAATTATTATGTAATATAATATTATAATATATAACTGCTGGGAATAGTCATTAAAATAATTTTTTTCTGTCGAGAAATTTTTCATGTTTTCCACATAATCATGAAGTGTAGAGATTTTATGAGAATGTCTGATACCATAACTATATCAAATTTTTGTTCAGTATCCTTAAGATGCTCGTTATCATTGTCATGATATTATATTTGGCATTTCCTGGCAATTATTAAAATGCAATAAACAACTTATCAACACTTTTCCTTGTTTGTATAAGTATAAGACCAATTTCTTTTCAAATTTGTATAGGAATTTTTCTTGCACGCTGTATAATAAACCATGCTGTGGCTATCAACCATTAAAAAAAAATAGTTGGTTAGTTAAAAAAATAATTCATTAAAGAAAAAACATCGTTTCTAAGGTAGTTTAATAATATCTTTAAAATACAACAAAATTGCTAAATACTGAAATTAAATTATTTAATATAGAATGTTCTATCATTACTATGTTTCTGGGTACCCCAAGGTAAATGTCGATTGCATCATGCTACGCCAAACGGTACAGATGATTTCTAACCTAAAAACGCGAGAATAATTTAAACAGCAGTAATTTGTGAAAACGGAGGAAGACGCTCATTTAAATTAATTAAATCCAGAGTTGTTGGAAATGTTAAATTAGTAGGAACAAGCCCTTACACTCTCCGAAAAAATAATAAGAATTTCCATGAGCAATTTAGGTTATGATAGTTTGTAGTTTACATTTTGATAAGTAATAAAATAGTAACAACAAATAAGTAAAAACAACCAAATGTGAATTTGCATCAGTTAGCATTGGGAAACTTTTGTAATTGGAAATTTAGACTGCACATTCTTCTACACTAAAAGCAGGATTGAAGAAGCATTGTAAGAGCTAGAACCTGTTTTTACTTCTCAGATTCAATAACAAAGTTTTCGAACAAAAGATCCAAAGGTAATATTTACTATTACAAACCAGCATTTGGATTTGATAAAAGATCTAAAAATAGCAAAAAAATATGAAGGTTATAGGAGATGTATTTGAAAGAAACTAAAGATAAACATAAACGAAAATTTTAAAGACCATTTTATGAGTTTCGACACAATCGTAAGAGAACCAGAGAATATAAAACCTAAACCGGAAGAAAAAGACAAAGTGTTATTGTTAACATTAAATGAAGAATATAATGCTATTATTACTACAACAGAAACAGTCAATCATTTCAATCAAGATTTCAGCGAAAAAGTGACATTCCAAGCAGAATGTTTTCCTTGTTTTAAATGTGGAAAAGAAGGTCACAAGATGTCAGATTAAAAGTAATAGAAAAGTTCAACCAACTAGATCGAGAGGTCCAGCAAGAAGAAACTATGAAATTGCAAATCCAACAGAGGAACGAATATAATTTATGGCATTGAATTGTGAAAATATACAAAGGAACAAAAATTTGCTTAATTTCGATTCAGAATCTATTTACAGATGAATTTGAACAATTTATGCCAGACGATAATTAATTGGCTAGTACGATGAAAAGTGCTGTAGAAAATGGTATCTCATGTTAGCAAAAAACGAGGAATCTTAAAGGAAACTTCCAAGGTTTGAGTGTAGTAGTAAGTACATTAATAGTAAAAGGTATGAAACATAACTAAATATCAGTGTTAGAATTCATGAAAAACTGACATTTAAAAAGAAAATGTAAAAATATGAGGTAATAGTATATTATACAATAAGTGTGGTAAACGGTATTTGAGTCACGAGTTTAATAGTGCTAAATAATGGAATGGTTTAAAAAGTTTACCAAACGTGTTGTATATTATACTTTTTCTACGAACATTAGGTTTTGGGTACAATGTTTTTGCAAAACAAATGAATGCAAACGTCAAAATTCAAGCCTTGCGGTAATATTTCCGAAAACATCCGATTGATTCCAAACCCGTGCGGTAATATCTTGGAAATATCCGAAGTGGCTGGGATTCGTGGGAAACGAAACTGATGCTGACACTTTCCGCAAGCTAGATCGATGTATAATTGGTATTTTACAGAATGAAGTAGAATTTTTTTTAACCGTAATCTTCTTGTACTGGTAATTAATATGGACTATAAAAATTCGGTAAAGTTTCTTACTTACACGTAACTTTCGTAAGGAATATTTGGTGGGAACGTAATCCAGCAAATGGGTAGGCCAATAGTGGGGGTACCACTTACTGACACGTGAAGGTTCGTAAAAATCGAGTGGTCCTCTGATATTGTAATCCGTGTAGTACTTAGAATGGGGTACGTAAGAGTAGAATTTGTGCCCGAACACAGGATCATAAGACAAGGTATACATTTTTCCTGTAACAACTGTAGAAAGTATTTGAGTCAAAGGTGGGTTTACACTTAATAGCACTTTACTTACGATATCAATTTAAGTATCTTGTGCTTACCACAAAGCACCTCGTCAGACAATGATTAAAAAATTGTTTTTCGCGAAACGTCGCCAGTTTGGAAGGGCGCCAAAGTAATTTCAATGGCTAATAACACGAATAGGTAGAGAAAATCTGCCGATTTATTATTGAATTTTTTTGGCGAGCCGCGTAAAACGTGTGGAGAGGCAATATCCTTGTAGGCGAGTGATCGACCAAAAGGAAAATCAAAAGTCATTTTCGCATAATGTATGGCCTTCTCATCAGAAGCAAGTAGAGTGGGAACCATTCGACGTTTTCGCATGGCGTTAGGTCATCTTCAGTGATAACCAAAATGTACTCGCTCCTATTCGGATGGGTAGTGGGGACTTCATGGTATTATTTTCGTCTGTCGAACCGGTCGTTTGAGATATTTATTGTATTTTATATTCTTGTATAATTTTATTTTATTTATTAATCTTATTGAAAACATAATTTCTCAATTATAAAATCTATGGCTTGGCACTCCACGCCGATAGAATAATTGTTGGGTTGGGTTAATGCCATCTCACTAGTGAATCAACTATAAATAATACCGTTATTAACTATAGTAAGATCGTTCATATCGAAATTTTAATAATAAGGCAAACTCCATTAATTGATCTTCCGAAATTCTAATAAGTTGTTGTCCGGGGATATTGAGATAATCGTCCGACTTCTTATTCCTTCAACAAACACAAAACACTCATTGTAACATCTATCTATGTATTTAATATTCTAAAATATGTTGATAAAAATAAATGGAAGTTTGAGATTAGTTGAAAATACGTGTTTGGTTCTCTTGGACTTCAACAAGGCGTTCGATATTCCAGAACAGAGTGTACTTCTCAAAAAGCTTTAGTATTTTGAACTGAGTCATTCAGCTGTGCATTTATTTAAAAGTTATTTAAAGTGCCGTTGCCAGAGAGTAGTCTGGGTAGTCTGGTAGTTTCTAGTTTTGTTGCTACCAAGAAAGGAATACCACAGGAAAGCGTGTTGGGACCGTTATCGTTGTCAGTCTATACGGCAGACTTTTCGTCTCACCTCAAATATTGCATGTCTCATCAATATGCTGATGACATGCAGATTTATTATCCATTTTATAAAGAAAACATAGATGATGCAAGTCATTATATAAATACAGATTTACATACAATATCTTGGTTGCCTTGGGCTCACAGCCTGCTTCTTAATAGTAGTAAGACTAAGCTACTTCTTAATTATAATTTTAATATAGTTTTAAATAATGTTAGGTGGACTTGTGAACGTCTGTAAAAAGTTGGGATTCTGATGGATGTTAATTTAAGGTGTGAAGACCATATGGCAACATTAATAAAAAAAAATCATTTTTTAAAATGAAAATGATTAAGAACATTCTCACAACGTTATTTTTTTTTATTTACACTTTTGACATTTTAAAATCTTTAAATTTTTGCAAAGTTCAGGCTTGTTACGACGATACTCAATTGTATTGCTGTTTTGATTTTAATAGTAGCATGGATGCAGAGGTATTTATAAATCAAGAACTTAACAGGATTAGTGAACTTTCTCGGGCCCATAATTTAAAGCTAAGCCCATCAAAATCGCATTTAATGATATTTGGAAATAAAAATAAAGATAAGCTACTTAAACAAAATATTAATATAATGTTAGATATTAAAACGTTCCGTTGTCGATTCAGCAAAAAATTTGGGGGTGATCATAGATTGTGATCTAAGATTTCGTGAAATTTAAAAAAAGGCATATTTCTCACTAAAAATCTTATATAGTAACAGGCATATTTTAAATTTTAGACTAAGGAAACAATCATGGGAGTCACTTGTTCTATCACATTTTAACTACGGTGATGTAGTGAATGGTTTTTTATTGATAATGAGTGTAAGTGCCGTATTCAAAGGTTGCAGAATGCTTGTGTTCGTTTTATGATAGGTATTCGAAATGACCATGTATCTGTTGCATATCGTCAACTTCATTGGCTTAAAATGGAACAAAGAAGAGCTATTCATTTCATTCATATGAAAATTATTCATAACCTCGATTCACCCACCTTGCTGAGAGAGCGACTTACTCCTAGGAGTGCTATCCATTCTGTGAATTAAGATACAGTTACAGACTAACGATGCCACATTATCAGAGTGCCTTGTTTCGTAGATCTTTCACATTCAACCCAATTCGTGTTTATAATTCTTTGTCACAGGAATTCAGTAACATAAATTTATATCCATTTAAAAAAATGTACAAAGATCATTTGTTACAAATACAGTTTTGCTAATAATGCGTTGTTAATTATGTTATTAGCAAAGGATTATATTGAGTTATCAAATTCTTTATCTTTATTTGCATTTTCTATAGTGTGTAGTAGAGTTTTGTTGTTCTTCTGATTTTGCAGGTATTTTCCATATTTTATTTGTTGTTCATCCACTTTTTTATTTCAATAAATTTATTAATTATATAAAAAGTTCTTTAGCGGTTCAGTAGAGTAGCTATTTAAAGCTAGGCTGCGCCACTTTTGAGCTATCTGTTTACTTTTCGTTGGAAAATATTAATATTGTATTATGTTTTGTTTTTTTTTGTTATCATAAAGGCTATTTATTATTATTATAGTCTAATACTATTAAACTCGGCGTATGAAGACGTTGTTTATTGGGAGTGTCTTACTTTAAAAAATAATGAATGTCTGCAAAAAATTCATAATTCATGTTTACGTTATTGCTATAACCTCAGGAAATATCATATCATATTAATAACTATCTAAAACAGTCTAAGGAGATGAATCTCTCTGAAAAGTATTACTTGTACCTTGTCACTCTAGCACATAAAATTAAAAGCACTGCAGAGCCCTCTTATGTATTTACCAAATTGTTAACAGGGTCCAACATCCAGCATCGTGTTACACGGCACCTCGAGTTGTACAATATTCCCAAGCACAATACTGCCACGTTTCAGAGATCTTTCAGTTATAACGACCTTAAAATTTATAATGATGTCCCTGCTACTGTTAAAGCCTGTTCATCTGCTAAGTCGTCTATAAATAAGTTCAAAGATGTATTGTTAATAAGGAGAGAATGATTGATGAATAAATGAGTTTTTTTATATTATGTATGATTCTAATTATAATTATTATAATGTTTTCTTCGGGGTGGTTAGTTTAGTGTCTTTATTTATTGTATAACGTATCCCTCCAGTACCAATAAAGACATTTTGAATTGAATTGAATTGAATTGCATTGAATTATTCATAAATACACCACAAGACATAGAAACAATTTCTGTATTCAACTTCATAATCATGATAATTTTAAAGAATCAGCAATTTTTGCTGATTACTTAAAGTTAATTGTTGAGTATGCCTAATAAAAAATTCAATTCAATTTCTTTCTCCTAAAAACATAAAGAAATATAATACAAATATTAAAATATATTTGTGTTACTGTCGTTATGGTTTCATGGCCCTTTTTTATGACTTCCTAATTTCTAATATTTTTTGTATGTTGTATTGTTGTATGTGATTGTTTAAAAATATATAATAAATAATTGAATTGATCAATGCAGAAGTTTGAGAAAGGCACAGAAGTATACTTCATCTAAGTGAGCTTGAGATTTTTTTTATTTTTTAATGTATTTTTTTTATTAATGTAATTAATTTATTAATTAATTAATGTAATTTTTCATTTTCAGAGAAGTTAGTTTTGGTTAGTTATTATTATTTTTAACCGATGTTACACATATGTCAAAAGACTCAATTTTCGTAATGTTTATCCTTTATCCAGTCTATTATCAAGTGGACATGCATTTTTGACAGATGGACAGTGATCCATCTGTCAAAAATATATAAAATTAAAATAAAATATACAGTCAATGGAAGTTCAAAATCCTTTCATTTTCAACATTGAAATAGTGCCTTCTACATTCAACAAATGCTTAATGTTCCAGATAGTGTCTCACGCCATATCAAATTTTGAAAAAGAGCAGTGGAGTATCACTTTTATGTTTGAACTGTTTGTTTAAATGATGTTATATTGTTTGGTGTTCCCACAAAAAAGGCAAGGTTAAAAAAAAATACGTTATCATAAATATTTTTTTAATACCTTTTTATTTTAACCAACACTTCATTTCAGAACTCCATCTCTACACTGGTTCTTCTTATTACAAACCGTATAAGTTATTCTTTACCTAAAAGAAAAATGCCAGAAAAGTAGTACATACATACGAGCTTTTTTTTTAAATTTAATTATTAAGCTTAAGTTTGCGTAGCGTTGATACTACAAATACTACAATTCTGTTAACTCTTTGTACCTTTTAACTTGTATTTATCGATTTATATCTATAACATTTTGATTAGCTGTAAAATTGTTGATAACAAGTTAACTGAAAAAAAAAAATTCTAAGGTATTTAACACCCTGCATTATTCTAATTACAATTACTTAACACACTTTATATTTTATTCTACTTATTTTTGATATATTGACAAAAATAGCACAAACAATGACGATGTTTATTTAAAAATTATTTAAAGCTATTTTCATATTAATTAAAATAAGAATAAATTAAATCCTTTTACTATTTATTGTATGTGACCACCATTTGGTTCAACACATTTGTTTCAACTTTAATTGTCCGATTTTTGCAATTCAATAATAGTTTCGAGTGATCCCTTAACTGATTGATTACCATTATAATGCTTTGCCGAAGTTCGACGATATTATCATCAATTCAAATTTTTTTACTTAAGTACGTAGTAGTTGTTAGAAATAGTCGATTTACAAAAATGTGCACTTTTTTTTTTTAAAATAACGTTTTTTTTCCTAATGTCTCACTTTGACCCACCTCGACCACAAATACATATAAAGGTCCTCAGTGGCATGGTGGCAAGCTCTGCCCAATACTTCGTTGCTGTTTATATTCAATTTAGTTCGCTTTCGGACCTGTTGCTAGTCGTTATTTTCTTTTTGGCAGTCTAGCATTAGTGCGCTTGTGATGTTGTTTATTTTTTGTTAGTTTGAAGTTAGCCATGGAGTTGGTTGAAAGGTAAAATAAACAGACATAATCTGTGAATCAATTACCATTCTCTGTGCTTTTTATTACGTTTGGTAAAGAAACATTTTCCCGACGGTTAATC